TCATTCCTTCGTGTTCATTCTACTCATTGCTCCTACTTAAAATCTCAGAGTCTGCTCTGCCTCCTTGGTTTTCCTGTTAATTGCAGAGTAGAAGGTGAGAAAGTAGCACATTGTCTGTGCCACTAGACAGGTTATCTACCTGAACACTTGAAATCTGCAGCTGAAACAACAGCAAAAGGATGCTTTGTCTCGTTTCAGACTTTCTGTTTTAAAATCCTGTTCAGATTTAACACACACATTTTTCATTTTTCTGTGTAAGATGCCACAGGAGAAAAAAAGACATCTGTCACCCACACTATTTGAATTTAGGAATTGGAAGCCTGCCACATTTTCATTAGCACTAAGAGAAGTAACAGCAAGATAAAATCTAGAGGGGTTGAGCAATTTTGGAAGATGCAGTAGTAGGTAAGGAGATCTTTGGAAGCACAACACAGATGATGTTTTTGAAGCAGAAGGTTTTGAGTTTCACTTCCTACTGATGAGAAGATACTGCTTTAGGACAGACAATGCATTAGGAAAGGCAACTCTTGGATACTTGTTGGAATACAGGGACACAGAGCAGCATAATAAGGTCAAGTATGAGAAGTTTTCTCCCTTAAGGAGTGATGAATGGGATCACAACCCATATTTTGGGATAGGCTCAAGGCTGTAAGGCCCTAAGGTCCTTACCTCAATACATAACCCCAATTCAGCCTGAGAAAAAGTTCAGAGACATCACTCAGATGCTCCTACCCCAGCCCAAAGGACAAAGCTGAACAAAGTTCCTCTGTCTGCTGCTACCACTTCTAGATAAGAAAAACTTAATGCTCTCTACATACCCTCCCCTTTTTGTCAAAACACACAGTGCCATATTTTATCTGAGCTTGCACCTTCACCCAAGCCACTGACTGGGAGAATGCAGGAAAACACGCAAAGAGCTTCCTTCAAAACCAAAATCCTGTTAACATTGGCCCAAAGGACAAAGCTCAACAAAGTTCCTCTGTCTGCTACTACCACTTCTAGAGAAGTAAAACTTAATGCTCTCTACATAACCCCCACTTTTTGTCAGAACACACATTGCCGTACTTTTTCTGAGCTTGAACCCTCAACCAAGCCACTGACTGGGGGAATGCAGGAAAACACCCAAAGAGCTTCCTTCAAAACCAAAATCCTGTTAACATAACCCATAACGACCAACAGATCAGAGCACAGCGCCTGTAATGTGCTTTCTTTTTCAGATAAACCCATAAGGATGAGGGCCAGACTGCAGACAAGACCACAAAAGCAGAGTAAAGCCTGCCCCACCCCACAGAGAGGCACAAATATAAAACAGCTCAGGGGAGTGACACTGGGCTGTGCCCTGCTGCATTCAAATGAAATAGCAGGAAAAGCCTGCTGGAGGAAAAGTTATTCTACTCTGCACTGATAAGGGCTCAGTGATTTAAAGGCTCATCAGAACAACTGCTGAGGTTTTGAATTGCCTGTTAGAAATAACTGGAGGAAGCTGGGATTTACAAAGATTCCAAAACGTGCCTGGATGGGCTTTGTTTTATTGTTTTGGTGATTTGCTCTTTTTGTTTGTTTGGCTGTGGGTTGTTTCAAGCCAGTAGGAATTTAGTTTTATTAGTTATTTTTAAATGATGTTTTGAGCTTTATTTTTAAATCTGATACTTGCAGCTGCAATTTTTGGTCTGTTTCTTTGATTGGGTTTATCTCTCGCCTCCAAAAAAAAAAAAAAAAAAAAAAAAAAGACAGCCATACTTGGTGCTTTACACAGCCTTATCTTACAACCTAGTATTTCTAGCATTTACATCCTAACCTTTTATACCAGCAACAGTTGAGTTATCTCTCTGCCCTTTACTTGACTTTATTACACACAGTGAGAACAGGATGGATCCCAGAGGTATTATATGCTCAGTAAAAAAAAAAAATTAAAAAAATATCCACAGGTTTTAATCTGCCATAGGTCTCATTTCACATCACATGCAATGATTTGTGCATTTCTTATTTTTTGGTTCAGAACTGCCTAAAGTGAATAACCCACTGACTTTCCTCCCCACCCAGCCATGACCCAGCACCAGGTAATTATGGTCTAATGGTTCTGATCCACAGAGAGCACACTGACATTCTTCACAGGCTAAAACTGCTTCTATGAGGTTAAATCCTGCCAGTTTAGCTCTTGGCAGCGAGCCCCACTGCACATGTAGGACAGGACTAGCACCTGAGGGAAGGAGGAAAAGCTGTGCATCAGACCAGGTGTGCCATCCATCTGCATCTCTCACAACAGCTTTATTAGGGACACGGGCTGCAGGAAGGCTCCACTGCCCCTCCTGGAAGGACTCAGTCACTGGAACTCAGCTTCCCCCTGCTGGGGCTCAGAACAGCACTTGAGCTTCCATTTGATGTGCTCACAGCCCTCAGGTAGAAGACAGCAAAGTGACCAAACAGACACCCTGAGAAGTACAAATTCTGTGCTTGCTTATCAGTAGAACTGCTTAGGCAGACTGTGACTGCTGGATTCCAAATGCCACCTGAAGGGGAAACAAACGGGATCCAACAGTCCCAGCCTAGCAGTAAGACTACATCTGTACATAAGTTTGGGCAGCAAAGATAACTCAGTGGGGTTTTCTTTCCAGGCTACATGTGAACTTTGATTAAGCACCGTTTTATTATTTTATGTTTTATTATTTCAGACATTACCTCGGAAAACTGCTAGATGGTGCTAGAATATATACATATGCAACGCTATGCTAATACAGGGGTTTAAGATGCAATCCTGGCCCCTGGAATCAGCCTTGGATGCAACTGCCTTGTGCCTGCTTGTTGTATACAAACAGAGAGCTGTGCCCAGGATGGCAGAATCTTGTTTTCTCATGCTTTGCAGAAAGTGAACATAGAGAAACACTCAGCTGGATTCACATCAGAGCCCAGGTCAAGGAGATGGACTCATCCCCACGCTGCTCAGTGAGAAAGTTCAGGGCACAATTCTGCACACATTTAACCAACATGCAGTTCTGTGGATTCTGTATTCCCAAAAACAAGCCATCCTGCATAAAAAGAGTATCTTCTAGAGAACACTTTGTTCTTTCTCAATGCAAATATTCTTGGAAAAAGGAAAAAAGAGGCAAAAGAAGGGAAAAGGAGAAAAAAAAGGCAAGCAACCAAACAGAAAAAAAAAAATCTGTTCCTAATCATCTTTACAGCAAAGGTGAATTTGGTCAAGACACCAGTTGTCTGCAACTGGTAACTGTGTTACCAGTCTAGCTAATATTATTGATTTTTGAGTGGTTTTTATGGGGAAGTTTAGGCATGATCTGTCATAAATATATGGGATTATAAATGAGAGATGCAGTTAAAAAGAAATATGAATACAGAGGAAGTGTCACCGGAGCAGTTAGATTTACACAGTACAGACTTGATCCATAAGCTACTAGAGTTTTCATACGGGGAAAAAATATATACAGACATTTTTAAATGGTATTAATAGACTTGATTCTCAGCATTAATGGCTAAGCATGTGGACACTGAGGGAAAATAAAGCCCCAAGCAGACTACGACCAGCTTTAATTACTGTTAATCTGCAGAGACATTCACATCAGAAATATCACCCTGGCATTTTCCTGTTTACCAGCTGCAGATCAAGCTCTGTAACATTTAATCTTTGTAAGTACTTGCCCTTTGAAAACCTCTCCTTCCCTCATCTTTCCCTCAACAAATCACCTCCTGTGCTCCTGCCAGCTTCTCCTGGCTGTTCCCTGCCCAGGGAGCTTTCCTTCCAAACCCCTTGCTCTGCTCTGAAGCTTTTCCCTGAGGAATTAAAACCCCAGGGCACTCCTGGCACATTCCTGGGGATGGGCACTGTGTGTCTGGAACAGGAGCCAGAACTGGCCCAGCAGAACTGCAGGGCTGCCATCAAAGACAAAGCAAGCTCACCTAAGGAGCTTGAGATCAAAACAGCACTTTTGTGCCTAGAAGCACAAGAGCTACTTCAGGAGATCTAGAGCTGCTTTCTTCCTACATAAAGCCAATATTTGCACCACCTCAGCCAAGAAACCTACCCTTCACTGAGGCAGCACCAATGAACACACTGCAGCAATGTTTACCCTTCAGGCCAGCAGCATCTGAGAAACCTAACACCTCATTTTGCCAAGCCACTGCATCCAAAAAGTTGTAGTGTAAATTGATTTGCTTTCCGCTTCTTATGTTTTTGTGGTTCTCCTATATGCAAGAGTTTTCAGCAGAAAATTTCAGGCATTCCTGAAATCTTCCACAATAAAGAGTCAAATAAGAATAGAAATTATAAAGTGAATTCACTTCTCAGAAATCATAGTGCAAGGTTAATCCATTTTCTCCCAAAAAGTAAGTCTGTTACCACACATCCCATCCCTACACTCTTTCAGACCCCCAGGTAACTGTACCCATCTCCATAGGAGTGCTGGAAATTCCAGTTATGTTTTATGCTTTCCAAGAGCAAAATTACATGGAGCCACTTTCGCTTGACCTTTCTTTTTCCAACATGTTATTGCTACATTTTTTTGAAGAAACCATGTATAATAATGATAAAAACATCTATAAAGACTTCTCTCTGTAGGTTTTCAAACTCAAGATTTTATACTAAGTCTGTGTGACATTTCCAAGAAAGCAAATTACTGGCATTGAGGCACTGAATTTATCAACTTCTTTTTGTATTTTCAACACGAAGCATAAGAGAAAGTTTTCCTTTCCTGGAGGAAAAAAAGTCTTAGTTGCCATTTTGCCTCCTCAGTTGAGGTAAGGAGTTCTTCTTTGCACCAAATTAAAAAAAAAAAAATGGGGAGAAAAAGCCTGTAGGATAGGCACAGTTTAACTAAAAATTATATTAAATTTCTTGACTCAGTGACACTATTATTATCTGCAAAACACCCATTAAGAAAGATTTTAATTATTTTTCTTCTGAAAAAAATGAACCCCATTCATTCAAACAAGTCAAATTGAGGATTCAGGCAAAGCATTCCAGCACATTTCCAGCTCCTGTTCCTTACCTGTAACTGTCCATGCAGTGAGGCTGTACCCACCACAGCAGGCAATGGCTGATTGCCAGGGCACTTTTTAGATAAATGGCTACACCTAGGGAGAGATGGGATGGTCCTTTTAAACACAGAAGAAAGCTCTTCAGGACAAATAAAACATCCAGGTCTGGAGAACCACAGCCCTTGAATGGTCAACAGAACCTTCCAGACTATAATTGCCCAGGCCACACAGCTGATTACATTAGCACTTGATTACCTGGTGATCCAAATCAGCAGATGAGGTTCAGGTGGAAGAAAATCAAGATCACCTGATGCTCATCAAATGAAGCAGCTGATTAACCAAACAGTCTTCATGTGAGGTTAATTCGACATTAATGGCATTAATGGCATCCACATGTCACTCATTTTGGTCAGTTCTGCCCAAAGTTACCTCATCACCTCATCATTCACTAAGCACAACTTCTCTTGCTCCCACACCTCTGCACACCCCATGGCTATGCTTTTATTTCAGGTAATTAAAAGCAGAATTTTTTAAAAAATTAAAATTGAAATGTAAAGAAAAAATAATTCAAAAATTCATTTTTCCACTGCAGAGTCTCCCTATTCCTCCTCACAGTTTCTTCTAGAAAAAAAAAATTCAACATGGACCTAACAGCATTATTAGGCTGTAAACGTTACCCTCTGCCAAGCATTACATTTCTGCTCTGGCTCTGCTGGCTCAGAAGCCTGCTGCCTTAGAGAGGACATTTCCCAAAACAGCTCTGTCCAGATCCATCAGGAGCTGGGAGATGCTGGCTCGCAGGCAGCAGAGAACGGGCTGTATCCTGTGGTGCCAGCAGTCAGTGCTTACACAGAGCTGTGTTACCAGGAATGCTTCTCCCAGCAGCTCTGGGCCTCACCAGAGGCTGGCACAGCCCTGTGCAAAGCAGTAATTTCCTTGTCTCTACCAACACATCAGGAGTCCTACTGATTCTGGATTCCTCCTCTTCCCCTATCCCACTTTTCATGCTGCTTTCAGTCCCACTCTCTTTTCCAGACCATGAAAAGAAACTTGCTTCCTCAGGTCACCACCCTCCAAATCCTGCCTCTCCACTCCCCCAGCAGACAGACCAGTAGGAGATATTTATCACTGGGCAATATGTACCTACGGGTCTTTCAAATATCTGACAGAAGCTGAAATACCCAAATAACATGTTTGGTGCTCTCTTGTTTTCTTTCAAGGAAACATAATGTATTTTCCCCCTCTGACAGCAGTAAAAAGATGAGGCAAGGAAGGATGTCATGTTATTTTCACTAAAATTTTCTTACCCTACAGCTCATGCCATAAATGTGCTTACTGCCTTATCACTAAACTTTATCTTGCTGACAAAAGTTTCCATAACAGCCATAGGATTCACAATGTATGGTCTGAATGCCAGCAGCTCCCAAAGAGCTCCTGAAAGGCCAAATCACCTCCTTCAGGTACTGCTTCAGAATCAAAATCTGAGCTGCAGGAGGAATGCTGGAGCAGTGGAGGAGCTCTGGGTATCAAAGGATGGCAGATGTGTGAGAGACTGGAAAGGCTGAAAGCTGCTGCCAGTGAGCAGGAATAGTCTCCTTTGCACAGGAGGGGCCCCACAGGGGCTCTGGACTGCCCCAAGGGGACAGTCCTTTGGGTGTCTGCAGCTCCAGCCCTCTGGTTCTCTGGCAGGAGCTGTCACACAGTGCTGGCTTTGTGACAGCTGTGTCACATCAGCCACCACAGAAAAGCACTGACTGACCATAAAGACCCCCTGCCAAACACAGCCTCTCACTTGGGAAAGGGAAAAGAACTCATCAACACAGAAATAATTTGACAGTAACCTTGAGAGAGTTTGGGGAATTCTATGGCTTGCCTAATGGCCACAGAGGGACTTATTGCACTGGGATTTCATATAATCTAACTGTTTGCTATTTAAACAAAAAATAATCTTTTAGAGCCTGCAGCTACCTTGGACTGAGTCCCCTTGCAATTACAAAAGTGATTGTGTTTGAATAGCTGGCTTTCTCCTTCACTGCTCCACTTCTCTCCACTCTGGTGACTTCAGGGAATTATTTCTTTGGACATCGTGAGTAGATGCTCCAGGCGTTATTGGATTGCCCAAACCTCAGTGTCTCAGCCTCACTGCTAGTACTAGTCAGGCCAGAAGAGAATTGAGCTGTTGCACAGAAGGGCAGTTGTTCAGACACCTCTGAGAATCTTTATGCACACTGGAAAAGTCTCTTCCTATTAGCACTCATAACTAGGAGTCACTTAACCTTTGACTGTGTAACACGGTCAAATTCCATGATACATTGGGTTGCCACTGTAGAAATAATTAAGGAAGACAGTATAGGAAATAATAATCTACACTGGCATGTCTGCAATCCCAAGTTCTCAGCATGTTGTACAACTGTTAATGAAAAATAGGCAAAAGAGAATGGGTTTTGTGATTAATGTTACAGTCCTTCCCAGAGCAAAAGTGTCATGGAGGGAGGGCAACACCATTCAAACCTGACAGGAGAAGGGAGAATGCCCTGGGGTAACAGAATGCACCTCTCCCCTTGCTTGGTTTCATTTTAAAAAGGTGTGGGGCTGTTATAATTTCATGCAAGCTTGCAAAGTTGACTGTCCTTATAAAAAGAGCAATTATACACACACCTTAAGCACGAAGCAGCACAATAATTAAATGAGTAATTACCTTCCCACTTTTAAGCTGTCATGCAATTAAACTTAATTAAACATTCTCTATACTTCACTAATCTTATACAAACAGAAGAAGGTAAGAAGGGTGTGGCAAAGAAAGGGCATTAGGCAGAAAGTTGAGCCTATTATTCTGTCTATAATAAAAAATACCACTGTACAGTCAGCTCTAGGTTCTCATGTCATTGCCTTGTTGCTGGCCAGAGATAACCTGGTCTGAGCTGCAAGAAAAGCAATACACTGAGGCAATGGCACACTGTTTAATTTTGGGTTGCATTCTTCTATGTAACATTGTAAAATGCTCTTCAAAAGAAACAAGTCCAAGGAAAGGGAAATGCTGGCATTTTAGAGCAGAGGGAGTAAAGAATTCTGTACAGAAAAGCTGGTGCAAATGTAAAACAAAATCTTTAATGCAAACACAAGTCCAAAGTTTCTCTTTTCCCCAGCAGAGGAACTGTTGCATGCACACAATAGAGGAAGGGCCAAGAAAAGACATGGGAGTTTTGTTGACAAGGAGACAAGACAGCTCTGGTGCAGGAACAATTGTGAACTTGCTTCTGTCCTGGTCTGAAATACAAATAAGCTTTGTAGAAGCATAGCCCACATATTTCTGCTAATTATTTATTCATTCCCAGAAATCTGTATCACATCTACTGTCTCTAGCTGCAGGTTATTATGGTAAATGACAAAATTAAAACAAAAAAATTAATTCTCTCAAGTAGCAATGATTCTGTCTTCCCTTGCTCTCTGAGGCAAAGGCAAAAACAGGTACATCTAAAAGCAAAACCTGACCTAACTCTGTAAACGTAATGTTTAAGTCCAGGTGTCCTCAGATTTTGGTCCACCTTCATAACCCACTTGTGTGCACACACCTTTCTGCTCCTTTTCTTTGCCACTGAGCCCTGATTCCAAGTGCCACAGAAGAAATTTGAGCACATCACAGCAAAACATGACTGGGAAAGTCAATTTTGCCCTTTTCCACCCTCATTTCTTCCAGCATGCAGAGCAGCTCCACAGAACTGAAACCTGCCATTCATATTAGCAGAGGGGTCTTCACATGGTTTGAAACTATCAGAACAATGATGGGACAAAGACAGGATGCTTGAAGATATGGTTTTAATTTATTATTAAAACAATGGAGAAAAACCCAGTAACAATACTGAGCAGCTTTACAAAATGTTGAGTGTGTCTGAATGCTGAGAAACTGAAAAATGGGTGAAAATCAACCACCCACCCCTGCTGCCCCATACTATTTATTTACCATTGCCTGATGATAAACTGCAGCTGTGGTTAAAATGTGCCATGAAAAGTTTGATGTTTGGTTCTCATTCCAAGTCCCACAATAAGTAAAGCATCACAGGCTGATAAAGTCTAAAACACCAACTGTCCAAAACACAGCACTGTATTAGCTACAGAGAAGAAATTCACTGTATTCCAGCTGAAAACAGGACTGAAGCATTTCTTTCTGGATGATGATACTGTTTTTCATGTTTTGTAGACCAAAACAAATAAATGAACACGTTGAAAACATTGGAAGTGTTTAGGAAAAGACTGGTACAGCCAGTCTGTGTTAATTTGCAGGCAGCCAGCAGCAGCACTGCTCTTGGCTGCTTTGCTCCTGCTGTCAGCCCTCTGTGCCACCAGAGGTGGGCAGCCCCTGCCAGGGACACAGTGACAGGGCCAGTGCTCCAGCTCCCTTGCTCCATGGCTGATTTAGGAGCTGAGGACACTGAATCCAGTGCCAGCTACCTCACAGCTGCAGGGAGCCTTCAGGAGAGCCAGCCTCAGCTGTTTAACCCAACCTGGCAAGTTCCAAAGGATGTTTTATTTCCTCTCTGGGACATTATATCATTTTGTTAATGGCCTAGAAGTCAACAGTCCTCTATAGGTAACAGTGATTAAGTGCTCTGTGATTTGAATTCAGAATCAGCAACATAGAAACCGTATTAAAGTTGTGGTTTTTGCCTTGTGATCCATTGTCCCACCCATACCAACTTGTCCAAAAAAGAAATTCCAGACCTGAACTTGTCCACAACTAAATCTTTCTTTCCTACTTTGGTTTAGGCTGTGGCTCATAATTATTGATTTTTACTTTTTCCTCCCCCTGCTTGTTTTGTTTCCACAAATCTTGCTGTTAGATTTGGCAGTATTACCTCAAGTCCTGCTGCTTTCTGACACAGCGACAGCACACCTCCTTCCAGCCCTCACCTGCTACTGAGGAGTTTGTTCAGAGGGACAACTTCCATGTTACCTTCACTGTGGGAACAAAGAAAACAGTCTTGTAAAACTCATTTCCCAGCAGGAATGCTCAAGGCAGTACAGTGGGACAGCAATGGCAATTCACCCACACCATCCTGCTGTGGCTGACACCCCCAGCCCAGGCTAGTTTTAGCAGATCCAGAAAGTATGTGATTGCTTCTGTGCCACAGTTTTCTTTTTGCATGGTTTCCATGATGGTCCTGAC